TGGGGCTGTTTAGACCGTTCGTTCTCTAAGTAGGCACCGGAGACTTCACATGTGGCTACCAGACAAATATTTAACTTTTGTAACCGCTGAGTCTGGAGGAGCTGTGGCCGCTGCTAATGTTCTACATGTGTGACCACAGTAAAAGTTGAAAGAGTGCATGAGTCCCTCAGCTTAAAGGCTTTCATTTACAGAGGTCTGATCCAATTTCATATCCCCATTCATGCATGTAATTGTATGTAGCTATTGTTCTTTTGTTTGGCTTTTTCTTTATATTGGAAAATACAAAGCTTGGCTTTATGCTGATGCTCGGTCTGCACTAAAGTTCACTTTATAGTGGCAGACATGCACTGCTGACAGATTCAAATTACACACACAAGTTGCATGTACCTAATTACGGCAAATTAGAAATAAACTGATTTCATGGTGTGAACAGAAGGTAGTTGCGCTAATTGACTAATTTCTAAGCTGGCTGGTTTAAATTGCTGAAGGACTAAAGCTTTGTCTACAGTATCATAATCCTCTGTGGCAGAACAGGCTAGGAAAAAAGGAAAAGTGGCTTTGCTCGGTGCCTTCACGCTGCATCACATCAGCTCCATTTTCAGTGTACTGATTTCATCTACTTAAGTTTTTAGAGCAATTTCATCACCATGAATTTTATCACAGGCCTGTTAAAAAGCATTGTTCTGAAATTTTTGTCTGTTGTTTTAATAACGTCTGCTGAATTAGTTAGGTTTCATTCATCTTGATTGACAAATGATAGCATTGACTCTTAAGTACTGCCAGCAAGAAATAAGTAAGTTACCTAAAAAACCCCTTTGTTTGCTAACTGCTGTATCTAGTGATGTTACTTACCATAAGACTGCTCAGTACTCAGCTTTGATGGTTTAAAAATGATTTTTTAAAATCTGAAGTTCGTATTGCATTGTCAATGTCCAACCAAGCTCCTTAGCGAGTGGCTCAATTCATTGCCATTTTATGTTTTAAATGATTGATTTTTGCAATTTGAAGGATAAATTGCCGCTGTATTATTTTTTCTGTCTGTTATAGATACTGTTCTTCCGAAGTTCAACCTTGACTTTGTTGTAGCTCTGCTGAGGCAAGAAAATGCTAAAGACATCTGTGTCATCCAGCTACCTCCAGAAATAAAATACTGTAACTATTTTATAATTGTGAGTGGCTCTTCAACACGACATCTCCATGCAATGGCACATTACATGCTGAAAATGGTAAGACGATTCCCAGTGCACTCTCTGGGTTTTGGGGAATGGTTTGAAATGTTGTAAAAGGCATTTCCCCAGGATTGCATGTATAGGGGCGTACCAGGCAAGATTAAACTAATTATCTTTTATGTCATTTAGTCCTGAATGCATCTAGCAACTAGCTCTACTTTTTTACTTTAGTGGCACTACTCAAAATGTAGAGAATATATTTCAAAACAAACCTCTCTGTATTTGGAACAGTGACAGCTTTAGCACAGTTTGGCGAGAAAAAGAATGATGTGAAATGGTGATGACGACCTCTGTCTACTTTTGTCTGCCATCCAGCAAGCTTCATAGCTACTCCCACTCATTCGAGATAGCTTAATCTGGCTGTTCTCAAACCCTAATGTCTAAAACTTCCAGGTTCTCAGGTATATCGTAAGGCTGGAAAAAAGATGGCACATTGTGAGGCACTGGATCCCCTCATGGGCTTACTAAAGCAAACCGCTAGTTAATAGTCACCATACTGTGCATGTACAGGAGGAAAGGAGAAGCAGCAACAGCCAACCTTGCACAGAAATCTTGCACTGTTTGGCTTAGGCAGAATGTGAGCTTTTTGGGAAAAAAAATAGAGGTCAGAATAAAATAACAGGCAGAGCTTAGGGATAGGGACCAGTCTTGGGGAGGGAGAAACTTTATGGACAGAAGAGAACCAAGTGACTGTTACAAAGCACAGTGTGAGGAATATGACTAGCCCCCATCTCAATCAGCTGTACCTGTAGTTTACCTTATCCTCATGCACTTTCTTTCCCTTCCTGACCCCATTTATCCTTTGGTGCTTGGTTTTACTTTCTTCCTTCTGGTCCCATTGGTTTCAGCTGTGAGACCTGAGGGGAGGAAGGAGAGAAAGGGAGATGGTATTGCTTTTCAGTGCCTTTCTGAGGGGGTGAGGGGAGTTTTTTGTGTTCTCTGTAGGAACTAGTGCAAACTAAAATTTTGCCTTGAGCTAGAAGTTGTGTTAGTGTGATTTGAATGTACTAATTTAAGTGTTTAATATGTACTCTTACTTGCATAGTCTTAAATCAGCAGCTGTCCATCTCCCCCAGACCAGGAGAGACCAGTGAACACCATCCACCCTGCAAACCATGCCTGTGCTGCACCTGCCCGCTCCTTCTACTGGCTGTAAGAGCGGCTCTTGGGCAAGGGTAGAGCCTCAGGGGAGACGTGGCATCCTCCATGGCATCCTGAGAAACTAGGAAGCCTGGCCAGGGACTCAGGAGTGGCTGAGCTTGCCTGGCATTTAAAGTTTTCTAGGCAGAAACTGAAGCTTAAGGTGTAAAGCAGAGCAGGTGCTTGGGCGTGCTGCTAGGCAGCTGGCCAGCTTTACCCTTACAGTATGGAAAATGTTATGGTAATGCGCGATTTACACCAAAATGCAGAGGTGCTCATGTGTAGCATGAGGTCTTCTGATTGCCCTTTCCTGTCTGGTTTCGTGTTCGAGGGAGAGACTAACACTTGGCTTTATTATAATCTGTTCACCGTTACACAGCCTTTAAAGACGAGGCTGAAGGAAACTTGTAATGGAGATCAGCTTTTCCAACCTCTGTTACGCAGCTTAGGGCAGCGCCTGCTGGGCTCTCGAGTGTTTTAAGCAGATTTTCAGAGAGGCCTTGTCAACTAACTGCTTTTGAGGATATCTCACAAGCTATCTTAAAGGAAAGAATCATAGAATGTCGTGAGTCGTAAGGGACCCACAAGGATCATCAGGTCCAACCCCTGCCCCAGCATAGGGCAATCCCAAGATTCAGACCATGTGTCTGAGGGCCTTGGCCAAATGCTTCTTGAATATTGTCAAGCTTGGTGCCATGACCACCTCCCTGGGGAGCCTGTTCCAGTGCTCCACCACCCTCTGGGTGAAGAACCTTTTCCTAATGGCCAACCTAACCTCCCCTGGGCACATCTCCCTGCCATTTCCTCTGGTCCTATCATTGGTCACCAGAGAGAAGAAGGTTGAAGTAGTTCTGAATTACATTTTGAAAGTCCTCCATTCTGGTTTGCAAACTGGGGCCATTGTCTGACAGCTGGCATTGTGTGAGAACGACCAGGAACTGTTGCATTTGGTGGTAATTGCTTTCCTGGTGACGTGGACTCACTTGCCAGCCATGCTGTTATAACCTGTAATTTTGTATTTTGTCTTTCATGGCAGAAAGGACAGTTAGAGACATGCAGTTTGACTCTCCGTTTCCTTGTGGCTTTGTGTTGAACTAAATGTTTGGTTTGTTTCTTAATTTCAGCTTGAGAAAGGTTTTCATTTTTTTTTGGTTGCTTCAACTAGAAGTAAGTTAGAAATTTGAATAAAGGAGCTCTGTGAAGACACAGCTGACTCCATTTTTTTTCTTCTCTATTGATGCTTCTTGTGAAGAAACTAGTGTGTTATGGCCAGATCCAAAAGAGACAGTAGTACTTCAGCTTCTAGTTGTCAGGTTTCTTCAGCTCTGGTGTGTGCTTAGGTTCTTTAGGTACTAGGTGGGATGAGCTGGGCTTCTCAAGCTGACATCTAATAAGGCTACTGTGTTGGCTAGTGAGCCAACTACCTTGCCCTAGCCAAGCTTTTGCAGTCCAACTTTGAGCAGCCTCCTCCACTCCCTCGCAGTGGTTCAGAGCCTGGAAACGTGTGTGCTGGTCGTGCTTTCCCCTCATCTTGCAATGCATGTTGAGGGCGTGCGCTCAGCGGATAGGAGGCCTGCTCAAATGCCTTCCTCATGGCGTAGGTTGAAACTTGTTTTCTCCCTGCTCCTCCATCTGAGAAGAGGCCAAGCTTAGCATCTCCATTGCTGCATTTTTAACTAGCCAGTGTAAAACAACAATGAAAGGTATCTGAAAGGAAATAAAACTTAGTGGTAGTGGCAGTTCCAGGGAATGTATAACTGAAAGACTGCTGCTAAGCAATTTTATTCATTATTCATCTTAAGAAAAAATGGACACCTGTAAAATTCTTGGATAAATGTGGGAATTCTGAGCGTTAGAATTCCAGATTTGATACTAAATGTCATTGAGAAATCTGTACTTACTTGCCATTGCTGAAAGGGTGTATTACTCTTTTTTGTGCAGACCCCAGAACCAACATTAAGTAATCTATCCCATTTCAGATTTAAAACAACTCTAGACAACTTGGCAAAGACCCACTTATCCGTTAGGTTTGAGAGCTTTTAAATAAATGTGAAGTACTTACTTAATTTTCTGTCATTGCTTCTCTCTCAGTACAAGCTTCACAAAGAAGAAAATGATCCTCATACTCGGATTGAGATGACTGGCTGTGCATTGATTTTGGTAAATATTTGTGAATCTGACAAATACAAAGTTCTGCGTGAGCTCTTTGTTGAAGGAAGCATCTCACCGTGAACCCTGGTTGCTGTGGAGAGTCTGCAATACTCTGCTGTTTTGGATTTCCAATTGTTGTTGCTTGAACTCATTGAGATGCTAAATAAATTTTCACTAAAGATCAGTGGCACTGAGGAGAAAGCAGTAGCTACTCTTTAGTGGCTAAAACAGGTCTTAATAAATTGAAGAGAAAAGCTACTTCAGTCATTTTGCTCAGGTATCTACAATCCCTGTCTGGAGGAGTGGGAGCTCTTTGTATGCTGCCCTGGTAGTGAACTTTTGAACAGACTTTTCCACTGTCCAGATCATACTGTAACACAGGGTAAAACCTCAGTTGTAAGAAATTGAGTTTAATTCTTTATTCTACAAGTGTGAAACTACACATACACACATAAAAGACTTTGCATTCAGAAGGCATTTCTCCTTCACTGCTAGCTCTAGAATCTCACTGTCTGACATTGTGTTTTGGCTTAAAAGAGAGCATGGCTGGGTGAGGAGCAGTGCAGCCAGTGATGTTAAGCCTTGGTTACTTTGCTGTCAATGATTTTGATAGTTATAATTGAAAACTGATTGAAATTTGAAGGCATAACAAGAAAAAAGTACATTAGAAATACACTGGAATTAATATTCTCTACTATTGTTTTGCACAGAATTAATGAAACTTTTAAGAAAAACTTTATTACATCAAAGTTTGGACCTGTTTCATTATAATAAAAAAAAAAAAAACCCAAACCCACACCTGACAAGTGTGAGCAACACACCTAAGGAAAATTACTTGGTTATGGCTGAATGTTGTAGTTAATACAGGAAAGCTGAAAGTCCATCTGTAACCTTAGGGAGGGGACTCTTTCAAGTAACATCTCTTTCAGCTTACTTCCTTCTGTCCCCTAGGAGTCATAACTTCTTTGGTCTGGAGTCTTGTGATAGTGTTTTAATTTAAACCAGAGTATTGTCTCTCTCATTCTGCTGGCTGTAGTCTTGGAATCTTTTGAGGATTGACCAATTCCTAACTCTTCAGCAACTTAGGAAGAGAGACCTCCATCAGCTGACCTGTTATATCTGGCTAAAATGGAGGTGGAAGACTCAAACTCTTTGTGTAGCTTGGGAGTATAGTAGTGCTTTGCAGTTCACATTAATTTATTGTGAATTTCTCTTCTGTGCAGGTAGCATAGTGATACATTTCATGCTGCCAGAGACACGAGAGGCTTATGAATTGGAGAAGCTATGGACTCTGGGTTCCTACGATGACCAGTTAGCACAGATGACTGTACAGTCACTACCAGAAGACTTCATATTTGGACTGACTCCTAACAGCAGTGATCATCTTGAGACAGAACTTAATGCAGCTGCTGAGTGGAAAGAAAAATGAGTGTGCCTTCAGAGACTGGAGAGAGACATGCAGTGTTGGTTACTGACTTACCAGTCACCACAGTTGATCAGTACAAAACAGTGTGTTTATTGAATGTGCCTAGGTGAAGTTCTGAACAAACTACAAAAAGGATCAGAATCATAGAATCATCAAGGTTGGAAAAGACCCTTAAAATTGTGTCTAACCATAAAATATCAAAGAAGGAGTCCAATTGTAAGGGAGCTTCCTGGGGGAGACACTCAGAATGGATTTTGCAGTGAGAAGAGTGGGGCAAAGACAGCTGCTTAAGCTACTTAGCCGCTAACAGTAATTTTTTTCTGGTATCTTTGAAGGACCTGCCTGTAATAGCAGTGCAAAAAAGACTTGAGTTCTACAAGGAAAAACTACATGAAATCGTAAAGTTTAGAGGAGGCTTCCAATATTAAGCCATTTGCTGTGGTCACAATGAAGCAAGTTGTGCTCTGAGTTGAAGGAGGAGAGAAAACAGACTGGTGTTACTGAGCACATAAAAGCCAAGAGCAGCAGTAACAAATAAATGTGTCTTGAGTTAACGGAACAGTAAGTCAGTTTTTAAGGCAAGACCAATCTGGTTTTAATAATAATAATAAAAAAAAAACCTGAAGAGCTTCATTTCCTTGTCCTCGTATTAAATCATTCAGCTCATTCTAAGTGTGCAGTTGGCTCCTCTCCTAGTTTTCCTCTCACCTAGTTCCTGGAAAAGGACACTGAGGCAACATGCTGTGGCAGTGTAAACCTTCAGCTCCTTTGAGGTGAGTGAAAGTAGCACTAAAGGAAGCCGAAGCCCTTAGTCACTGAGCATTACTTGCTGCTAATGGACTGTTCAGCACTTTCAGAAGTCATTGCACAGTGTGTTCTTAGTCTGGCTGCTGCATGGTCTGATACCCAGTTAGAAGAGCTTCAAGATGGTAACAAAACTTTTTTATGTAAACCAAGATGCTTTTCTCCATACAGGACAGGGCTTTCATCACTGGGTTCGGATCTCTTTCCTCTGGAGAAGCTTGCTCTGCCATGCATCAGGAAGCAGGAACAGTAGATCCTGAGGGTAATCACTTTTCCCCCCCATACCCCCCCAAACTACTTCAAGTCTGGATCAGTACCATGCAACATTAAACCCCTTCTGAACAGAAAACATTTGGGAATGGTTTCAGTTCTATGGCTCAGGTGATTTCTGTGTAAATTAAAAATACTGAGAAGCTTGTCCAATGAGTCTGTAGATTGATCCTGTACAGAGGTGTGTGCAGGTTTGGCTCTGTGCAGGATTCCTTGGTGATGGGATGAACAGGAGAAACAATTACCAAGGGGAAAGTTTCGTCATCATTTCACTGGTTGTTTGCACTGTATTTGAGTAACTTCATTATCAAGCAGTGTTTAAGTCCATCAGTTGAACTAACATTAGTCTTGCAGCCCAGCTTGAGTGCTTACTCCACAATTTTTCATGTTCATTTAAAAATCCTATGCCCTAGTACCACGTTGAGACCATGCTGTCCTGCACAGCATACATGCTTTGTTTAATGGAAACTAATACAAAGAGCGCATGCCTTTGAAATCGCAGCTTAGGAATAAAAGCTTTGGAAGGTTAGAAGCAAATAAAAGCATCATGATTAAGCCAATGCTTACAACAGTCAGGGTGGTGGCTGTCACAAATGCACCAGCGTTACAGAGGAAGGCTTAACTTCTTACATGCTCAAGTGGCAGGGCTGCCAGTTTTGAGAAGATAGCTCAGTACTGGCATGGAAAATGAGCTGAGTTCCCCGTGAAATGCAGTACCCTACACAGTGTCTTTTATAGACATAATTTCTTCAGTTCCCTCTTACTAGTGGTTGTCCCAGTAACTGAGCTGTGGAGTCAAATGAGAGAGTGCAAGAGCTTGGAAAGCAAGTTCGGTTTTCCATTCCTCTTTAAAAGATACCAAATTATATTATTCAATGACACTTCTTCATTCCCCAGCCCCTTCCTCTCACCCTAAAGCATTCAGTCAAACATCTAGTCTCCTTTCTAGTCCAAATAATGTTAATAAGGATCTATATAGAGAGATGACACCATTGGATGGTGGTGGTAGGAGCAAGATAAAGACTGCCCTCCCATTAGCTTGCTAGTGTGAGTGGTTCTGCCTATCCACGCTTCTAGAGCCATGGTCATTACACAGCTTCATCACACTGACAGCACCAAAGTAAAGACTAGATAAAAAGCAGACAAAAAAAAAAAGCTACCATTCAGATCTTGTTTCAAACCTGTTAAAGATTCCCTCATGATTGCCCTGGGTTAGGACTGTTGAACACACATCCCGTCCACAGCAAACCAGCCCAAATGATCTGCCTAAGGTTGAAACCATGAACTACAGGTTGTAGTGTAGACTGTGTAGCATTGTTACATGAGAGGGAGATGAATTATAAGCCACGGAAGTCACTGCTTGTAGTGCGAACATTGTAACCTGGCTGCTGGATGCCCTAGCAGCTATGCAATACCTGTGAGTGATTGTTCATCCTTATCCAGTTAATACGTACAGAAACCCAACTTGATCAAAGCACTGCAGATACTTAGAACAGACTGTCCCTCTGCCTCATTAGTGTAAAAAAACACCACACAACTTTAGCTGATGATAGGAGTTAAACTCTTTATTCCATTCAGAGGCATCTGGTAAGTGGAGCTGCATTGGGGGGCACATTACAGATGAAAAATGATCCATACTTTGTGGATATTGAAATCATTTACAGTATTTACTTTCTAGCTATTCCCAAATACTCCAAATTACCAAGTCTCAATTGAAAAGAAAAACATGATTTACCATACTAAGTCTAGAAATTTAAGAGAGATGACAGTATTTAAATCAGCAGATGTAAATGCAGCGCCTATTTGTAAAGTAATCTTTATGGAAAATAATGAAGTCAAATCCTTCTCAAATGTTAAGAAAGGAACGTCAGACTGACTTAAGCCTCAACAAAAATTAAAATGCTATGACTTTTCATACTTCTGTAATTTTAAATTCATTGTAAGAAAAAAAAAAAAGAATTATCCTAAAGGCTAGATGAAGGTCACTGTCAAAAAAGGAAAAGAAACTCAATTTTCTTTGCTAAAACTACAACATAAGTTTATGGTTTTTAAACCAATTAGTAAAGAAGAGATGCAGGAAAAACACTTCAGACCATTTTCAAAATTATCTAATCTGTACAACAATGATCTTTGGGAAAATTATCTAGTCTATGTAGTAATGCCTCTATTTCAACATGAACCTAAGAGGTAGATAACAAAATGATGAAACAAATGTTTTTGCTCGTTGTGCCCCTCAAATCAGTGCAGCATGGTGATTCTGATCATCTCATGCACAAAAAACATCACAAAAAAGGTTCAGAGGTAATAGCATGGCTCTGTCGACCACACACATACAGGCGCGCACGCGCACACACACACACACAGCAGTCTTTATGCACCATGTGTTGCCACATTTTTTTTTTTCTTAAACTGAGGTAGACTGAAGTTTATTGTAGAAACTTGAATGTGTCACTATTACCACAATCATCATTCAAATTACATTCGGAAATTAAAAAATTTGGTAACTTTCCTGTTATCCCTGCCTTTTGACATTTTTTTTTCTTCTCTAATGGTTGGTTGCAGAACGTGCATAAATCCTGCTGCATCTATTATAAGCCAGGCTAGAGAGGTTGTTGTTTTGTTTGTTTTTTGTTTTTTTTCTTGTAATAGTTTTTTAAACCTTCAAAGTGGCTTAGTGTGGCCCATAACAGCGGCTGGATATGTAAACTTAGCCTTTCATTATCTTTCAATGATGTGATCAAACACCGTTTGACCTTCCCCCGTCGTGGTAACTGAAAGCAGTATGATGTGATCTGCAGACAGCAGAGACCCTCGTGGCCTCAAATATGCTCTAGCAGATCAAGTGTTCTATCAAACGGAAGATGAAGCTTGCTCTTTGAACAAAATGGCAAAGTCCAAATGGGCTGCAAATGGTTAAATGTAGCATTATTAGGTAGTGATGGTCAAAGGCACAAAGGGTTCATGCATTCAATCAAGTAGCACAAAAAAAAAAATTCAGCCTCTTGCAGCCTTCTAAATTTTTCCCCCAACCCCAGCCTCTTGCCATCACTTCCTTGTCCTGTTCCCAAAAAAGTACCGTCACAAACTTTTTCATCCCATCTTAAAAGAAAACTAAACGGCATTGCTGCTATCAGAATGTTGGCATCATTCACTATCTTTTGAACATTCACTGAATTTTTTTTTTGTTTTAAACAAATGATGGTGTTGAAGCCCTCAGAAAATCTGAGGCTGTTTTTTTACCCACCTTACTCCCATCAGCCAGCAGCTAGAAGTGCTCTACTATATTTTTCCCCGATAACTCTGTAGTACTCCTGGCTGGTGGCTGATCAAATTTTAATTTTTTTTAAAAAAATAAAATGCTCAAGAACTATTAGCTTTATAAAGTATACAAAATACCAAAAAAAAAAGCAAAAAAGGAACAATTTCTCATTGAGGTACTAAATGCCTGAGGTAGTTTAGTAAAATGCATATTTATCTTTTTATGCCCTGGCCAACACCATTCAACACTTCCCTTAGGTTATGCATGGCAGTGTTATGTAAAAATGCAACCAAATTCTTTTTAAAAAATGCCACTTGTTTCAACATTGGGACTAACACTTAAACTCTTGTCAATACCCTTGCTCTAACCCTAGCCCACCCGCAATCCCACCCTCCAAGTGTGTTTCTTCTTTTACAACTGGACCTATAAGAGCAATGCCTTTTCTTTTTTTTGTTGTTTTTTTTCTTTTTTCTTTTCTTTTTTTTTTTAAACCAGTGAACTCAGAAGAGAAAGCTTCATTAAACCAAGTTCTAAAATTGTTGGGGAATAATAAGAACAATAAAAAAGACTAACGAGTTTATGTTAAATTGTGAGAATAGAACAAAAGGGAAGTGAAGGGGTCCTTATTTTAAAGCTGGGTTTCAAAAGTTTGAGAGAGCCTAAAGAATACATTCTCAGAGACAGCGTTCAACGGTTGCCTGGTCCTCGAACAGGTGATTGGCTTGATGGATCTTCTGCATATAACTTCAACAGGTGCTCACCACCCGTCTCTCTGTCGCACAGTCTGTCTTTGGTCTGGCATCTGTCTCCGATGGGCCATTTCCTAAACCTTTATTTTCGTCTTGGCTGAGGCTGTCCGCTTTGCAATGTTTTTTGCTGTTGCTGCTGCCTTCTTACCTGAGCCAGTATTTCCTGAATTTTTCTCTGAGCAAGCTGAAGGATATAAAGAAAAACAACCCATCATGATGCCATGCCACAGTCACTGTGTTTACAACTGACTACATTTGCTACCAGGATTAAGAAAATCCGCAATAATTAAGTTCCTAGGACTGACAAGATTAGTCTTTAGTTAAAATACACTTGGGTTAGTCATGATGTACAACTTAATTTTTAATTTTTCTTCTTTTTCCACCTACCACAACTACCCGCATAGTCAGTTTTCCCATCTGTAGTATTGGAAGCATGAGCATAGGAAGACAACTACCGACATTAAGATTATTGAGGCTACTTTCTTTTACTTTTCTGGAGATACTTATGTTTTTTAAGAACGACTATTTCAATAGAGAGTGGACAATTCTTTTTATACACCAGGGAATCCAGAAGGTCAGACTTGCAGGATTTACCAGCCCTCCCATCTCCTTTCTGAACTACAGGTCACCTGTAGCAAACTATGGAAAGGAATTGGTCTGAACTAAGAGTTAAGTAAAGGAAGGCATCTTGTGATCCTTTTTTATAATCAACAGATTGGGTGATATGGACAAATTGCATATATACATGAAGTTCTTGCCAGGTACTCTGAGACTGCTTGTATCTCCTATCAGAATTTCAGTCCAGTCACAATCTGGGTTGGGGGGTTGTTTTTTGGGGGATATTTTTGCCTTGAAAGTTTTAGCACTGCCAAAGCCTACATTTATCAATAGGAGAATTTAAGGAGATTGTTTTACATATGTAACAGTGCAATATTGTTATAAATCTCGCTCACAGGCATGAGAAAAGTTTATTGCAGCAGTACAATTAGAGGAGCCTGGAAAGTGGTGCTTTCTGTATCCTGAGCAACAGTCTTCTGTCCCTTGGCTCTGCACATGGATATACAAGACTGACCATGGAATCATCAAGGAAATACAAAAATTCGCTCCAGTCCTCCTACCTGGCATGCATAGAAGTGACCTGTTATTTTCACAACCACCTGATCATTTTCATCAGGTGTCTGGTCACGAGGGACTACAACTTCTGCACTTGTCAAGTTCTGAAGCTCATTTACCTGTAAATAGAGAGAAGCCAGAAAATCTTAAACAAATGTCCCTCACAGATACTGCTGACCACAGAAACATCATCCTCTAAGTTATGTTTAAAAAAAAAAAAAAAAAAAAAAGAGAAATCTACTAACAGGAAGCATGTTTGTGCAGCAGTGTGCACTTTGCAAGATGAGACACTCCTGTGTCTCTAACATAAATTAACACAAAGTTCTCTAGGTTTGTAGAAGTGTTTTAAAGACTAAACACAACACACAGAAGGTGTTAAATACATGACTTTAAAAAGCAAATAGATGCCACAGAGTTTACAGTTGAGTTTCCAAGTTTAAGGTCAGAAAACTCAGACAGTGTATAATGTAGGGAAGAAAAAAAAGTCAAAGTATTTGTAAATTTTTTTCCTTGAAAAGCCTCTACAAGATGGAGGACTCCAAACAATGAGAAGCACCCAAATTATTTTCAGTAGTCTATGGGCTTCCATAGTGTTAAGCAGAGGTAAGGTTAGAGTCTTCATCCCATTTACACTAATTTTATTTTAGAAATACATTATTTAATCAAAAAAATGATTTAGATTAACAACATTTTAAAGATACTTGTCCTTAAACCTCTTCCCACTGCAAGTAAGGAAAGAGGCCATGTTGCCTCCTGATGCTTAACTTCAAGACCACATTGCACTCAAGGATGGAGACCCAAGACTGAACCATTTCTTTGCAAATATCAGGTAGCTCCTGACTTAAAACCATATGAAAATACTAGAGTACCAGCACCTTTTCAGGGTTGAAAAGTCTCAATAATGTTATTTTATGCAACAAACTGAGTCATCAATTAAGTTGAAGCAACTTTTTTCCTCTTTTTTTTTGTAATATAGAGGTATGAACATGCCTTAATTTCCTACCACTTATTTAGAAATTATGCTTTCACTCAGATTTGGCCAGAAATGCCAATTGGATTTTATTTGAAATAAATGATATTAATGAAATCTTTTTGCAATATCTGGCATAAGCCAAGGTTCACAGAAGCAGGTCTTTTGTGGGAACGTACTCATTCTAAATGGAAGAACTACATTTCTATTAATAAAAGCCCCCCAGATCTGAGTGGGACTGTCAATTTTTGTTAGACTATTTTTTTAAATTATTAAATAAATCATTCCATGAGATCAGCTTCTCTTGACTCAGCACTAGAAGAAAGGAAAGCTTAACAAGTACAGCAAAGAACATAGCACCTGCTTTAACATAACTTCAAAGGATTAGCTATTAGTTAGCTAAATGTTTAAGCCTTATACATTTATACACACCGAAATAAGAAGCATAACTGAATGACACAAAGTTCTATATCAGCTACTTACTGTTTTGCCTCCTTTACCAATAACTCTACCAGCAGCATAGGATGGCACTTTTATGTGAGCCTCAAGTTTCACTTCTTCTTTAGGGCCAAAGAAATTTTCTTCTTTAAGTTTTCCATAGATTCTCCCTTGAGCCTGTAAAAATGCTTTCAGTTAGAGAATGTGCTTACATGAAATCTACATGAAACACATGAAATCTAGTTAACTTCAGGAAATTCCACAGAAAAGAGAATTCTCAGTACACAACCCTGACAAAGAATTTTCCCTAATAAATACAATAATTATTTTTCTGAAAGAAGTCTTTGTACCAAACTAGGAAGCACCGCTGTCCAACTTTAAAGACTGCATAACAAACCAAGGAATCGTGGAGCAATTTAACAGAGATCATTATAATTCTGCTTTTCAGTAGGAATATTGCTTTTAAAAGAACCTATTGCATCTCTGTGGAGGTAAAGAGTGGTGGAGAGAAAAACTGTCTGGCTGAAGCCTTTTATTACACCCAGAAGCACAAAATGCAATTAATTGGCTCAGAAACCCATTCTTTTAAAGATACTAAACTGAAACAAACAAAAGCCACAACCGCCCAAAGTAAGTCATGGGACAAAGGCTCCAATTAGAGCAAACAGCTTACTTTTACAATCCATTACAGCATGTTGTTTAAAAATAAATAAATCTAAGCTTGCTCAATTTTCTAAAGTGAAAAATCAAACTGCCTGGATCTAAATAGCACCATGGGAACAGTGTTACTCTGACCAGCACACAGTTCCCTTTGCTGGGGAACACGCACGTGCCAGGTAACAAGAATGTTCAGTGAGACTAAGCTCACGAACCTTGCTGATTTTTGAACACATTTATTTCCTTATTCCCTGCCATTCATCAGCGAATTCTTGAGAAATGGTAACCAGATCTTCTACTCTGCATCTCCTAGAGGCATCAAAAGAACATTTCTATTGAGATTCTGAAGAAAGATACTCTCTAAAGACCATAAACCTAGGACCACAAAGCATTTCCAGTTCAGGTTCTTTATCACCTTCTTTAAATCACACTTACCAGCCCTGTCACTGTGTACACGCTAAGTCCAAGCATCTTACAGGCTGCCAGTGCAATGGAATATGAAAAGTCCAAGAAGATTGCATGATGTGACAGTTATTTTAAATAGTGGCAGCTTATTTTCTTATTTCTAGCTCATGTCCTAAAAGCTAACAAAGTTTGCGCTACGCTGGACCCAAGTTTGCGCTACGCTGGACCGGGTCAGATGAACCTCGGAGTTGGAAGTACTCAGTATTTTGGGTAAGTCAGACTCCATCTGAAGATACAGAAAAATCTGTAGCGCATGGCTTTGACCTAGGTGGGATACTGCAGGTCATGGGACCCTGTCAGAGGGGACAAAAGCTATCATCTTCCCAGTGAGACAAAGGACTACACAAAAAAGCCACACAAAAACTCAGTACAACTGCCACGTTCTGGCACCATCAACAGCCCTAAAATCAGAGATTCCTGCTCCAAGAAACCACTTCAAAAGAGCTTGCCAAGAGCAGATAAAGTACTGCTCCCAGATAGCATCTTGAGCTACTAATTTTGAAGGTATTTCCGAATTTGTTAGAGTCAGACAGCAGCCAGCGCAGCCATTTTTGTTTCAATAGCAATGCTTTTTGTGTGCATAACACCTTGACACACCTGCACAGACCGCAGTGCTCAGCGGGAGAGGTACTATAAGGAAAAAGCGTGCATTTGTACTGAATTATATAAAGCAAGGTGGGACACTGACTTTTTAAAAGCTAGTAGAGGTATTTCCAACATCCCAAATTTTTCAGCTCTTGAAAGTCTTTAAGGAAAGGAAACAACCTAACTGGGCTGCAGCTCCTTAACAGGAAAATAGTGGCTGAAATACATTGTCTACAATTAATTCCACTTTGCTTGCACATGTCCCAGATCCACAGTAACATGATGATCTCTGAATACTGGTGTCAGGGGTATGCCTAATCTCTAGGGAGCACTGCAGCAGAGGCTGTAAACAGTGGCATATTCTCTTCCCGTTGCCTTGCTAATAAATAGCCCTGCATACCGCAACATCCTCAGGCTACTGCAGCTGAGGAAGAAAGGGGTGCAGCCACTGCAGCTACCATGGACATGAATCACAGACAGCAGAACACAATGTAGT